GCTTAGTAAGAGCCGTTTTGCTGCTTGTCACGTGATCACACTGAGGGCATTGGAAGATTCTTGGAGTATCCAAGATGTGTCCAGTTTTCCTATCCCGTGCAATGATGTGAAGCTGGGCAAGAACTCGAGCCTCGCAGGCTAGGATGTCCTCGCTGAGTCTGGCATCCTGGGCAGCTAAGATGGTTGCCAAGCGTGTGGTTTTAACCTGTTGTCGTTCAGCACTGCGGACCAGGCAATCAATGGGATCCGTGAGCCCATGCTGTGCACAAAGCCGTTGATTACTGACACCTGTAAGGTGCACAGGCTGGCGAGTGATATGCCTAAGCTGTCTGTAGAAAGAGACTGCTATACGCTGCGCAGAGCCAGGAGTGAGCCCCACCTGTGGCATGGCATAAAGAAGACTGGAGATAACACAGGCCTGCCAGATACGCAGACGAGTTCGAAGTGCAAGGGCCTTGTGGGTGAGCACAGTTTTCAGCCTTTCGAAGGAGGCCTGCGCAGCCCTGACCCTCCTCGTAGCGGTGAGATCCTCCATTCTAGTGTAACTGAGAGTGGCTCCAAGGTAATCATGCTGAGCAACGACTGGGAGCCTCCAAGTTTGATCATCATGCTGGAAAATCACATGCTGCTGCTGGTTGTGCAGCTGCACGATTTTTGCTTTTACCTTCTTGGCAGCGGTGCCGCCGAGGTGAAGAAGCACAGCACTCTTGGAGGCGGCAATGCTCATACCTAACTTTTGCAAGACCCAGAGAGCCTTGGAGATCGCCCGTATGTGCTGAAGAAGTTCCTCCTCAGAGTGAACCATAGCCTGAAAGAGCGCATCATCCGCAAACCAATTGCTGTGTTTTTTGCACCATTCAGGACCTATCTCATGCATGACGAGAATAGTGAATAGGGACCAGACCCTTGGGGCAATCTTGCAGCCCTGACGTATACCTCTGCCGCAGGCAATCTGAGCTTGGCATTGTTCGTGTTCAAAGTGGTATGTGACTTCAGCATGCCAGTGCTCAATGAGGCGACAGACAGCATCCGGAAGGCAGCTGAGCTCAAGGGCTTGATGCATGTACTTCGGCTCCAGCGAGTCAAAGGCCTTACTCATGTCCAATGAGACCGTAATGGCCCCTACAAGTCTACTCCTAGAGGCTCCAGCATGCCTCTGCTGCAAGGTGGTACGTTGTTCAGCGACGAGCGCTCTGGCTTGATGAAGATGCTGAAAGGCCCTCATGAGAGCCTGGGACACCCCCCGATTGGCCATATAGGCAAATTGGGGATACAGCGCAACCGAGTCATACAGGGCCTGGCGATGTTGCGTGGAGACGGCTCCGAGAAGTGCTTTTCCTACCGGATCAGTCAGACCGATTGGGCGATATTCCTCAGCCTTACGCCCAGACTTGTTGGGTTTCAAGATAAAACAAAGCCAGGCATGCCTCCATTCTGGCGGAACCCAGAAGCGATCAAGTTGCCAGTCATTGAGGATGGTTCTGCGAGCCAGGGCCGCCACAGATGAGGCAGCAAGTTTCCAAGTGACTCCTGGCGCATAGTGCTTCGGCAAAGATTTATGCTGGGGCAATGAGGCAAGGGCATCCTCCAGTAGCTTGGGTGGCAAGACGTAGCTTGGCAGTGGATCCGGCGTTCTGGGGTGCTGGCTAACGTAGACACCTTGCCAGAACTGCTGCAGGGCTCGAGTTTCCTGTTGGGTCGTCATGATGCGACCTTGTGCATCTCGGAGCTGTGGTCTTCTCCGCACAACCTTGGGCGCTATCTTGTTGACTTGGAGATGCACTTCTCTAATATCCCCCTGTCGCGCAGCTTGAGTGGCACGCTGAACACAATCGTCAATGAAGGCATGACGTTTGAGCTTGCTTATTGAGCGTACCTGGCGCTGGAGCTGAGTGAACGTCTTCTTGAGGTTGCGTCGTTGTGTCTCAGCCTCCACGGTATCAACTTGCTGCAGGGCTTTGAGTTCCCTGTGACAGTGCCACAGACTCTTGACCGGCATCTCCGCATCAGGTTGATCGTAAGCTGCCGACAAATCAGTGGGAACAAGCCGACACTGCATTTCCTCCTGAAGAACACGATTAATTTCCTGCGTGTTCCAGCTGTCAAGGCGCTGCAGCCTGTGTTGAACAGCTTGCTGAAAGTCTTCGGGATTCTCGAGCTGTAGTTTACCTTGCTTAACTTGATTGTTAATGCTATGGGCAGCATCGCGCCTTGGTTGTGTAGTCGACGCATAATAGCATTCAGCTGGGATGGTGGCCTGAATTGGCCAATGTTTGGGGCCCCCTCGCCATGCCCCCAGGTCAGCGTCGACCAAGGTCTGTGTGTGCTTAGCTTGTGAATCCGTGCGCCTGCCTCTGATGATGATGAAGTCTATTTGGCTACGCCTAAAGGCTCCCCCTTTCTCCTGGTGTTGAAAAGTGAAAGCTCCAGGTGCCGGCTGAAAGGTGTTGAGGGCTCTCAGGTCAAATTGCTTAAGCATCCGTTGTAGCACATGCGCATCAGGAGCATCCGCCGCATTACCTTTGCCTATGACAGCTGAGCCTGTGTGTGGCGCACAGGCCTGCAATCCTGTGTTAAAATCCCCAGCGATGACAAGCGAGTGTCGACTGGGGCAAGTGGAGACAGCTTTCTGGAGGGCATCCCAAATCGTGCTTCTTAGGAGCGATCCATCTTTGCTACCATCATGCACTTTCTGATAGATGTTGATGAGATAGTGACAGCAGCCCTGTTTTTGGGCTTTGACCATAAGGAGCCTACCTGAGACAAGGATCTCACTGCGTATGCAAGGCTGGGGAAAGCTGGCTTTGGAGAGAAGGATCATGACCCCCGAGTGCCTTGTGCTGCATCCAGAGGAAATGATGTGCCACTGATCCGTGACATAGTCTCTGTCCTCTGCCCAGTGGGTTTCCTGTAAGAAGACGATGTCTGGGCAACGCAGTTTCAGCCACACAAGCAGTTCCGTGTAAAGGGCTGAGGTAAGCCCTGCGCAGTTATATGTGAGGACGTTGAGGCGCCGATTGTTGCGACGCCTGCATCTGGGCGGTTGCACCTGGGGCACAGCCGATGCCGATTCTGTAGCCGTATCAGGCTGCCGTGCACTGGCCTCCGTTCGAAGCGGCCTGCCTCGATAGAGGGCCACACTCGTACCCTTTGCATGTTTGATGGCATTCTTGAGGGCAGTTTTGCGAATATTTTGTTCATGATGCAACAGTATTTGGCCTTCACCGCTGTGTTTTGCTCCCGTAGCAATGTCTGCTTGTAGATCTTTGGGGGGAGCTTGCTCTCCTGTCGCGGCAACAGGAGAAACCCTCGGCTTGACCGGGA